GGTTATGATAACAGCATATAAGACAACCATTCGGTACACTCCGAGCCATTGCACGAGCTGCTGGCGTGGACGTGTGCTCGTGCGGGGGCAGGGTGGGGTGGGGCCGAGAGGGGGGGGGCACCGAGGGAACCCTCCCCTCTGCTTCCCTCTGCACGTGCTCAGCCGAGCATGAGCATGTGCAGGTGAAGGAAGCAGAGGGAAGGGGGTACGGTGAGGAGGGGGAGGGCGTAGCGCACGCTCGAGTAGGATAATGGTAGGAGTGGAAAAAACTACCGCTAGCAGAACTGCGAGGTAATCCATAATCTTAGATTAACACATTGGCGACAAGGCGCCTTTTCGCGTGTCTGCCGCGTGGGACAAAGCAGTTTTTCCCTATTTTCGAAGAATGCGCATAAATGCTAGGGCGTTTATACGCCAAAAAATTGAAGAATGGTCAGAATTCATTGCAGAAGCTAGTAAGGCTTCGCTATTCTTGTTTACTTTCAAGATAAACCCTGAAATTTCATGGAATACTCCCGCCTCATTCACGTGGAGCGTGGGAACAAGGTCGCAAAAAAGGAATATTTTCGCGCCAGAGGTGGTAAATTGGATTCGATTCAGATCTGCTATTGTTGAAAGTTACCTTATCACATTAGCTATCTGCATGTGGAGCTTCAGTTCTATATATCCAAGAATTATCTTTTTTCCTAGGAAATCACTTTCGTTTGTCTCCTCGGTAAAATACTCTCAATGACACAACTGTTTACAGCTACTGTATATTCTACAATGCCTTCATGGACAATATGCAGCTGTTGAAAATTCGAAACGTCTTCAAATTGGTTTTTTACCCATGCCGCATCCCAGCAGTGGGACGCAATGTCGCCAACGTGTCAAGACTAAATTAAGATGTTGTTCTGATTGTGATAATACCCTCACCCTATACAAGACAACAATTTAGTACACCCCAAGCCATTGCTCAAGCTGCTCGCGTGGCAGCTGGACGTGAGTTCGCGCGTGGGTTGCTCCATCTATTACGATTCGATTCTTACGTATTGCGATAAAAAGAGCGCGGTAAGGAGAAAATCCATTTGCGATTAAAGTGCGCCCTGGCAAAGCTAAGCCAGTGAAAAAAGCGGGATAGCCAACGTGAACCCGGCGATCCGAGGGCCGGTTGAACGTCCCATACAAACATAGTGTGACAACAAATATGAAGTAAACGTTGATTGCAATGCAGCAAACACGCTACTTCTCAAATAACTTGGACACAGCGGTGTTTTTATGCTGAATAAAGATTGTCAGTAATCCTAAATGCGATCCGACCAGTACGCTTTGAATTGGCAGGTTCAATGAGTTCCCGTCCTCATGTAGTTTTCTTATTGTCGGAACATTAATGGAATAACACATGTCCGTTTTTGTTGTGCTTGTTTGTTTGTTTGGTATCTTATAGCAGCATGAACCGCACACCATTCCTTCCAATTCGGATCCAAAGTCGGGACTATTGGCTGACCAAGGCAGAAGAGCGATTTGGTAACGACTGACACGCTCGAGTGCTTCGGCTGACATGAACTGGTGCACTGGCTTGCATGGAAAGTAGGCATTAGTTGCCTATTCATTTGTTAGAGAGACCTCGTCACCCAACGATCAGATGGTCAAAAGAGTTCATTTTCGTAGTTATGGAATCTGGTTCGATCCGATTGGCTATTAAATAAGGGGAGGATATTAGTAACACGTGAAAGCCAGAATTAAGCATAAGAGGTCGGTGCAGAAATCCTGCAAGAGATGAGTTCTTCAAGCTTCTTAATGCGATGAGCGCAGAAGGTTCGCGTCGGTCAGATCGGTTTCATTGTGAGGCTGTTCGTGACTCACCTGGTATGCTAGCTTCAATCCTCCAATGTCAGCAATGTTCTCTCCCTGAGTGAGTTTACCATTAAGCTTCAGGGGAGTATCTGGCACCTATAATATCAATTTGACGTCTATCGCTTCTCCGCTAGTTGACGAACCTCAATCCCCCCATATTGATCGATGATACACTGTGCTCGCTTCTCGAACTCCTCCGTAGTGTTCGCGTTCCACCAATTGCGAAGGTTGCCAAACGCATCATATTGCTTACCTAGCATTCATTAGTTGTGGTGCATATTAGACAAGTTACGCAACGGCTAACATTTGGACTTCAGTAATAAGACAGACAATATACAACAATCACAATAATATACATATTCATTTCAAATCCACGGCTTTTCAAATCGGATCTACGACATTTCAAACACAATTGAAGCGTTTTTAGGACGAGACGTGGTCCAACACGCCACCCACTTTAAAGAAGCCACGCCCTTATTCCAGCATGGGCACGAAATTTCGTTTTATAATTTCAACTTCTGTGAGTTTTTTGTTTATTATTTCGCACATACATATTGACTGAGCACTGTACATCGACACATGGGAGGATATACATACATTGAGCCTTCACACAACAAGGGCACTCATGGACGCCCATCATTGTTAAGCAGACGAGACACCAGTGGTTCCACCGTTTGAGCGGATAGGTCCGCGGCCACACTAGAGCGCTGTCAGTAGAAAAATGAAGAATACGACGTCTCCGTATAATGACATATCAGGAGACGCACGTCACGCTCTGTCATTCTACAGTTCGCAGTGGGGTATAAACGGTAGCAGGTCGTTTGTGATGGCAGGACACTCATCTCGGTTGTTCATTCTGGGTTTTCTAGTGAATATCCAGAATGCTTCCAACGCTTTTCTGGCTGAGAGTTCCGTCTCATTTGCCAGCACACTGCACTTTATTTCGAATTCGATCCCATCATGTTCCACAACCTTATGCCTCCCGAGAGCAGTTGTAAGGGTACCGCGTCTCATGCTAGCAAGATGTTCCTTGATACGAGTAGCCAAGACCCTTCCTGTCTCCCCAATATATGTGGAGTTACATGCCTGACACTGGATTTCATATATTACCCCAACTGCGCACAGTCACCAGTTTTCCCGTGTGGGCAAGTAACACAATTTTCTGATATGCACTGCTTGTCGTAGAGCCTGTTACGGACCAGCTGCTGTTTGATGTTTTCATTTGGTATATTTACCAACTGGACATCGTCCTGCAGCTGTGCTCTTGCTATGCTCCGTTTGATTGCAGCGCTTACCACATCAGAAATGAAGGGGATACATAAAGGTATCTTGTTTCGACGCGGTACGCCCTGTGGACCAATATGCCGCCTTCACCGAGGGCGTGGTTCCGTATAGCCATTCATAACGGCTATTCTCAAATTAGAGGGCTAGCCATGGGTCAGCGTCTTGCACCAGTTCTCGCAGTCTGCTTTATGGGTAGGATAGAAGAACCGGTGCTGGAGCGCTTGCCTTTAATGTACTGTAGATACATAGACGACTGTTTCATCGTAACATCAACACAGTCCGAAATGGATGAGTGTTTCCGATTGATGAATGAACAGTCACAGTACATTAAGCTGACACGAGAAACCCCGCAAAACGGTTGGCTGCCATTTCTCAACACGCAAGTCAAGGTATCCAATGGTATCACTCGAGTTAAATGGTACCGTAAGAGCAGCTCGAAAAACATCCTGATTCACGCTACATCAGCACACCCGATTGCTGTGAAACGCGCTGTTGTCCGAAACATGTTCCGAACGGCAACGGGAGATGTAGAACGATAAGAATCACGAGAGCTTACCACAAAAATAGCCGTTATGAATGGCTATACG